AGTAGGTTGGGAGATTTGCAAAAACAACAGGCAAGAGCAGGGTCCTGAGTTCAATCCCCTTGTACCGCAAAAAAAAAAAAAAATAATAATAATATGTCTTCAAATATGGATCATTAGATGATGTGAACATTTAGTATTTTTGAGACACTCTCATCATCTAGAGTAGGTTGGGAGATTTGCAAAAACAACAGGCAATTTAGAAACTTAGTGAGATGCTGTCTCAAAAGAAGAACTATAAAAGGACTAGTAATGTAGCTCAGTGCAAAAATCCTGGACTCAGTTCTTAGCACTGAAAAAGCAAAAACTTACAATTCCTTACATTCTAATATAAGCCTCAAAATAAATAATTGAACCTATCTTCAATAGGATTATCTATTTAGAGCTGGTAATACAACCCAGCGGGATAAGTGCACACAAGGTCCCAAGTTTGACCCGGGTACCAAAAAAAAAAAAAAAAGATTTAATCAGCAAAAAAGTTTTCAGTTTTTCTAATAAGGAACCAAAGGAAAGAAGTCATAGCTAAAAAGGCACAAAGACCACATAAAATGAGGATTTACCCCCCAAAAAAGTTGTGAGAAAGTGACTTTTTTCTAGTTTCTTGATCAAGCAAGTATTTCTTATTTAGGTAAAACTAACTTTTTGCATTTTTTAGATAATAAACTCATGGGCTTTTTGTTTAATTCTATCCCTTAAGGAAAACAAATCCACATATTTAACAAAATTGGACATATTACAATAAGAACGTTTATTTTTCCTACCTGTTTCAGTAATCTCTCCCTCTCTTCCATTGGCGATCCCATGCTTTGGTCTTCGGCAATCATTTGATCTCGGTGGGCCTCCAATTCATAGAGTTTTTCATGCAGTAATACAGCCTCCTGTTTTACCTGGGAGTGTGTTATTTCCTAGAACAAAAGAAGGACCATTTTAACTAAAGCATTTGTAGGCTGAAAAAGTTAAAATGAGGTCACTAGGCACTAGTCCAATATGACTGACATCCTTGTAAGAAGAGACAACACAGACATCAAGTGGGACCATGTGTGATAACACAGGACAGACCAAGGGCTATAGCTGCACAAGTCCAGAGAGGCCAATGATGAGGACCACCTCCAGCAGTCAGAGATTTTCTACCCAGAGCCTCAAAAGGAACACAGCTCTGCTGACCCCTGACTTTAGACTTCTAGCCTTCAGAACTGTGAGAAAATAAGTTCTGGGTGTTGTAAGACACCCAGTTTGTGACACTTTGTTAGGGCAGCACTAGCAAACTAATACATCTAGGTAGGCTAGTTATTGCTTAATTGGGTCTACTCTAGTGTTCACAAAGAGAAAATAAGGATGAGAAGCCAGGCATGATGATGTACACCTATAGTCCCAGAACTCTGGAAGCTGAGGCAGAAGGCACACTGAGAGTTTGAGGCCACTATATAGTGAGTTCAAGGCCAGTCTGAACTACATGGCAAGACCCTGTCTCAAAAAACCAAGAAAGGAAGAAAGGAAGGAAAGAAGGAGAGAAAGAAAAGAAAAGAAAAGAAAAGAAAAGAAAAGAAAAGAAAAGAGAAGAAAGAAAGAAAGAAAGAAAGAAAGAAAGAAAGAGGGAAGGAGGGCAGGACAGAAAGAGATACAGAGAAAAAAGCTGTATTAGACAATATACTAGGAATGATGGTGTTCAAGATGATTAAGTTGATATGGGAATACATTATTTATGAAACACTTGTTTTGTGTTAAGACACAGTATTCAATATTCTATATATGCCATCTTTAATACTCATACAACATTAATAGAGCACTGCTATCACCTCCATTTTACAGACAAGGAAAGTGAGGATATGGTATCTAAATAATTTTCTAAGTTAACAAAGATACGAGTTAATAATATTTCTATTCACACAAACTAGATAATAAATTCTAGATGATGACAGCTATGTGACATCTTTGCTTGAAAAACAAATCTAGAAGGAAGGAAGGGAAGGAGCTAGAGAGGGAGGGATGGAGGGAAAGAATCTAGTAAAAGTTAAATATAAAAAGTGAGCTATACCCTATGTTTTGCCTGTGAGATAGATCAGCAGACTAAGCACCTGCTTAGGCAAGCACAGGGACCAGGGTGGATCCCTGGCGCCACAGGCTGCATGGACCACCCTCCCCTCACCCCCAGGCGAACTGAGCTGGCCACCAAGATCAGGCATGGTGGTGCATGCCTGTAATCCTAGCACAGAAAAGGCTGAAAACAGGATCATTACAAGTCTGAGCTGCATAGTGAGACCAAATACTATTTGGTACATTATGTACCAAATACATAAAAAATAAAATAAATACAAAAACTAAACCTGAATTACAGCTCATATTTCTTTCTATGGTCACGAAAGTGGTCAAATTAAGTAAGACTCCATACTCTCCCCTTCACTCCAAAAAAGATAGGAATGTTACAAGCTAGCTGTATTACTACTAAATGTGATTTTTCTTCCTAGAAGCAAATTTTCATCACTACAAAGGTACAGAAAAAATTATGTGTACCTACAAGTAGATAATCAGACACAGAAAATTATATTAATATTTAAAAATAATTTTAACACTAGTATTCAAAAATCTAATTATAAATGACTTATATTTATAAAATATTTCTTCTACAAATGAGATGACAAACTACAACTTGTCATAACTATTACTAACCTGGCATCATATCTACCCAGGCATAGGAAATCTGTAAAAGCAACCAAGATAGTACACTGGACTGAACATTGAGGTACAGAGTGGAAATACACTGAAATGTATGATTACAAAAGGGCATTTCACACAAAAAAGAAAAAAATTACTGCTAGCAAATACATAAACAGATACTCAACTTCATGCCTAAGTAAGTGACAAAACACAGTAGCAGCTGGGCACACATGGCATTCTCCTGCAGTACCAGCTCCCCAAGAGGAAGCATTATGAAGGCCCATGAGTCTGAGACCAGCCTGAGTACCAGGGCCAAGGTACCATTTTGAAACAAAAGAAAATAAAACAAAAAACAAGACAGTAAGTTTTACCTATTAAAGTAGTAAAAAATCTAAATGTGGGATAAATTTTCCTGTTACTGTGTATGGGGGAAAGAAACACCCCTACATGTCTCAAGAGTAAAAATTCAAATATATGGTTTAGGAGGCAATTTGACAATCTCACAATATTTTAAAAGTATATGCCTTGGGGGTCCACCCATTAGCTCAGCTGTTTAAGTGCCTGCTTAAAGGAGGCAGTCAGTCTCTGGGAGTGGTGGTTCCATTCCCAGATACTCAAGGCAACCCAGACCAGCGCTGCAGGTCAATGTGGAGCCGCCAAAAAAAAAAAAAAGTATATGCCTTTTGCTAAAAGAAATTAATCTTAGCGATGTATAACTCTGCATAATATGCATGTCTTCATTAAGGCTGCAGAAAATAACAACCTATTTATACTATTATAATAATACAACAATATACAAAGCAATGACAAGATGATAAGGGTCTCCAAAATGATAGACATTCAATAGACAATAGTAAGCTGCAGATGTAGCTCAATGGTAGTGTTGCCTACCATGTGTGAGTTAATCCCAGGAGTGAAAAACAAAGCACAACCTACAGATGGTGCTAAGGTGAAAAAAAAAAAAAGGCCACAGGTAGCATATCAGCATTTCAAAAATCCAGGATTACAGGATAGTTAAGGAAATTAATTGACCATGCCAGCGATATGTATGGAGAGCTCAAAGAGACATACAGCAAACATTAGAAAAAG